ATGTATGGAGGAAAAATAGTTTTATTTATAGTAATAAAATGCATGAACTAATTTTTATTACGGGTGATAGGTAGTTATGATATAATCCACAATATGCGGTCGAGTGAGCTCACCTAACTGTAGCACATTGTGTGTCATAGGAAAATCCTGTCGGAAGAATATGATTTCTGAACCTATGAATGCTTATCAATAAGCAATTAAAACAAAATCCCAAAAATCACTGAATTCCATCAACCTGCTAAACCAACTTTAAATGAAAATATCAATAATGAATACTATGAACTATACATAGAAGCCTGGTTCAAGTCGTCTAGGGTTACAGGATAACTAGTGCATCAGTAGTTCAATGTTAGAATAATAGCCAGCCATGCATGTGGTCCAGGTCCGATTCCCGGCTGATTCACTTCCAAACTGGCAACAAGTCCAGTCAAGAGGGAAAGCTTAGCTTGGGGGCTAGCAACTCCACCCTTTAAAAACAACACCTCTATTGAAAATTGAAAGCTGAAGCTTGAAGTCTTATATTCCACTCAGGTAACAGAAGAATGAAAAAATACAAAGAAAGAAACAGACATGTACCAAATGAACAGAAGGAAGTGCTAACTGTCACATAATGCCACATCTACAATAAGAAGGTAATATACTTAAACAAAATAAACAACATCAGTAGTGACTATTTATTATGCGACGAAGTATGATTCATTTGTATTGCTTACTTACTGTAATTATATACATTTCACCTAATGAAAATGTTCAATCTGTCTACAATATCGATTCATCTTATCCGATTAAATTATTCTTGTACTAAGATGGTTAATACTGATAACTAATTTTTCTTGTAGTTAAAGCAAGTGCTTACTGCAATGCCGATCAAAATGTTGGCTTAAGTTTCTACTTACAAATTATAATAGGCATCAAGATAATACAAGCATCTCATAGAAAAATGTAATATAATTTTGTAAAATAACACTCATTGATGAATAAATAAATAAAATGACTTGTTGAGTTTTTATGACTTTAACTGTTGAAAAGTCAATTTCGTCAGGGAGCGAAAGCACCTGAAAGAAACATTGAAAGGCAGGTGACACTCTACAACTGTTTTGTCTTGCTTTGAAACTCTTCAATAGTGCAGTTGTATTGTAAACTGGCAAAAGTAGGAAATGAACGAAATATTCCCATATTGAGTCATAAGAAAAAGGCACAAACAGCGAAGAAAATTTTCTTTTCGACGATTCGTTTTCATGAGCTGTACAATCGTAATTATAATTAACAAAGAAATCTTTAGACCAATCAGATACTGGTAAATTTTGTCCTTGGAAAATTGTATTACATAGTGTAAGGTGTAAGAAGGGATGACTAATTGTAAGTTAGAAAGGAGACAGAAGTTGGCATGACGTAATAAGTGTGAGATAATGAATTATCAATAAGCTCGTGTAAAATGGACAGGAACCAGTGGAAAGGCTATAAAGTGTTTTTGTATAAAATATATATGAAAAGCAATGTTATTAATAAACAGTAATAGAGTGGTAGTAAAATGTGGATGATGGGAACAATAATGATAATAAAAGTACTAATAAAATAAAATAATAATAGCAATAATAGTGAACTTACATAATAAAGGAAAGAAGCAAAATTGTGGTGAGAACTTTACTCTGGCCATGGTAAGGCAAGAGAATGTATGTATCGCTTTTGGATGCAGAGGTCCGGTTTCAGATCCCGAATAGCTAATGCTTCAGCTATGTACAGATGGCGTATCCGAAGTCCCTTTGTACGATATTCAGGGACTCTGTGTAACACTGTGAAGCATTCATGTGGGGATGATCGATGTCCAGAGATGACAAGGTGTTCGAGGATCGAGTTGTTGCTACTCTTCTTTTCTCCTCTGGATAACCAAGCTGGGCAGTGTTCCAGAATACGTTTGTGGACTTGACGTTGCGTACGGCCAATATACTTTGTAGGAAAGTAGGAAATCCCGACCGATTTAATTTTGACTTATTAATTGAGTGGTACTTTTCTTGTTTTGTAATTTGAAGACCTCTCGCTAAACACGGGATGTGCACTGCTGTAGAGTCTGGAAGCAGGAGAAAACAATGATTCTTCCAGCTAAACTTAGATTAATCCAATTAATCCAATTTAACGCACGCAGCTGACATTTGTGTAAAGACTGAAAAAGTGAGTGAGTATATAAGTAATCACCAAAACAAATTTACCTGCATTTCATTTACACCTCCTCGATAGGAAAGAAAAGAGGGCGGTTAGTAACAATTTAGGTTTTCTTAGGTAGTTGGTGTTGTGCACGTTCTTCTGTGACTTTGTGTTGCCTGTTTAAACTAATACTGTAATCATTTCAAATGTTACATTTGGCTGTTTTAAAGGTGTTCTGTCGATTTTTGCGCCATTTGTTATACTATGTGTGAAAATACTTTCAGTTATTTTTATTAATCCCCGCGCATATTTGATTTATTCTATTCTTGAATTTGTTGGACACTGTTTGTGAAACCAAAGTAAAAATTCATTTAGGATGACTAATTTAAGAAGTTATGAATACTTTTGTATCTTAAACGGCATTATCATTAAGGTATACTACAAGTGAATTACAGTAGTCACCTAGAATAGACTACACTTCATTTACAAGATACTATGACTCTAAATAAGTATGATTTATACCAGGGGTACAGTAACGGTTTTTTTTACCGTCTTTTATCAACTCTAGTCATATACAGAATAGGCTTCGAATAAATAACAAAATTGTGAAATATATGGAGGTGTTTTTCTGTCTTCATCCACAATCTTATAATTCTCCAGTGTTAAATATCGCCATAGAAAAATTGACTGTATCAAAGCGGATTTTGTTGAACAGAAGTTCTAACAAGAAATAGCAGCAGACATATCTATGGACGGCTGGGAAAATAGTGCTCTTAATACATGTAATCTCACTCCGAAAATATGGTGGAGATATGTGGATGACAATTTCACAGTGCCAAAAGCAGAACATATCTCTAGCTTCTTGACACACATAAACTCACTAGTAGAGGGAATAAAATTCACATTTAAATCGGAAAATGAACAAGGAGAATTAGGTATGTTACATTGGAAAATAAGACGAGCAGAGGAAAGTAAACTGCACACTAGTGTTTATAAACAACCAGCGCATTCTAATAGATATTTAGACTTTGATTCATCTCATCCATTCATTGTCTGTGAAGGCAGGCTTAGTCAAGTGTCTAACAAACCGAGCAGTAGCACTAAGTAGTACGAGAAAAGAAGTAAATGATGAAACAAAACAGATAGAAGAAGCATTGGTATCAAATAACTATCCTATAAAATTCATTGACAAGATCAAAAAAGGTGAGAAGCAAAATAAAAATAATGGTGAAACTAATAATGATAACATAAATAAGAGAGAATATAAGTCATCTACTGTAATACCATATAAGGAGGGACATCGGAGACCCTACGTAGAATTCTTAATAAAGCAGGAATTAGAGTGGCATTCAAACCTACAAACTCACTCAGAGACAAGCTCTGTAGGCTAATGGACTCGGAGGACTCAATTAAACAAAATAATATAATTTACAAAATACCTTGCAATTACTGTGAGTTAAGTCAACTACACAGGTCAAACTAGTGGATCAGGAGTAGTCAGATTATGAGAACATAAGAATTTAGCTAAGGTTAGAATGATTGATCACACGAAGATAAGTAATTCAGAAAAAAGCTCAGCTATTGCACTGCATGCATTAACACACGAACACACAATAGGGTGGGTGTGAGAGGGTTACAATTCTAAGAAGTAATCTAGGTATGTGGAGATAGAGGGAGATTAATTACTGAATTCTGGTTCATCGAGTCTACCTACACCCAACTTATGCAATAGAAGTAACTCAATGCAAATACCAGAGATATGGAAGATTTTATTACCGCCAGTCAGTCAAATCAGAGGAGCATAAGAAATAATCTTAAAATTCGGTTTCACTTCACACACATCACAACATTCTAACAAGTTACTTATTATGACTATAAAAACACTCGTCTTATTTCCCAACTGGTTGTAATTGATCAATAACACTCATATGATTAATTCTGAATGTACATTATCCTACACTGATTTTTATCCCAATATCTAATCGATTCCACACATGGATATAAATGAAGGAAAAAGTTGCGTGAGTAACTTGATATGATTATGAGCAGTAATAGTTTGTGCTCGAAACGTCATCAGTTAATATCACTGTATAACACCGAGGGGAATGATGTTTGCCCAACACGCACTTGCATTTACTAGTAGCTGGCACTAAGTCAAACTTATAATTATGAAAGTCAACGATCCTGCTCTGCTACTGAGAGTTTTGGGAGGTGGAACAGGTCTAAAGACCACGACCCAGTGTTAGAAAGTTAACTTCTTAAACTAATAAATATATGTTTCCCACACTGGGTGATTAGACCACTCAACTCAAAGAAGACAACCACATCAAAAAACATCCACTTGAACTACAAATCTTCTCTATTGATTCTGAATGGTTTATGATTGTAGACTGTGAATCTTATGCGTACGTTTAAATTTCAAGATAAATTTTTAGTGAGTATTTTAACCATCTCATTATAAGCACAAAAATTAAGATAATAACAGTTCAGACAGTCACAGTTGTTGTGTAATGAATAAAATAATTTTTGACCTATCGATCTAAATTCATGAATTTATACGCCAAAATCAAAATAAGATGTTATTCTGATTAAGGATTAAATTTATAGTACAGACATAACTTTGTGCGTTGGTTAACCCCAACGATGCATCGATGCACACTGTGTGGGCACCTGACAACTGCATATATATACACACACAATCCAACATGTACACAAACAACTACAAACACCATACATCGTATAGGTCAGTCATTGAAGTCAACGTTTTCAGATTGGCTACACATCTATTCCTCTCCCTATAACTGTACACTACATATATAAAAGCAGAAGTAGTAGTGAGAAAGTTTTACCTTCAAACTGCTTTGTTCACACTAGTCATCAGCGTAACATTTTACGTTTTAAAAATTATCCCCTGAATAAAAGTACTTACTTCATTAAAATAACAAATGAATCCAAATTTATAAATAAAAAAAAATGTATTATTACAAAATGAAATTATGCAATTAATAACTGTGCATTAACAAACATGAGTTTGTACGCTTAATTCATTGATAATTGAATAAAACATACTGATTATAAAAGGTACTAGAATAATTAAAGAGAAAATAAGGTAAGTGTTACTTTTTTTTAAAAGAAAATGGTGCTTGTACAACATTTTGATTAATATTAGTAATAGTATTCATAAGTAGTCACACTACCTGCCACCTGCACACAAATAAAAAAAACTAACAATTCGTCGATAAATTCACAGGTGTTCCATTTGATTCAGACGATTTCGTAGGGTATATGCGTTCACGTGTATTTACCCAAACTTAGGTTGAAAATTCAATCTTAAACTGGTTAAATTCATGCATAGAAAGTTTTCTAAATATTGAACGACTTAAACACCATTCGATCTGTTCAACATTCAATCCATTTTTACCCTACAGACCACCCTATTAAAGTGAATAATTCTGATAATTTAGTATACCATCAACTATAAATGAGTTTAATAATTCTGTGTAGTTTTATTTGACCCACTTTTCATTCTTCAACTATCTATCGGCAAACACTTATAACCTTGGAAATAATAATAAACTGAAAACCACTTAAATTCTAAATGATAATGACTTTCACTTCATTACGAAACTGATTAACGTACTTCACCCTTATAGGACAGTATCTAATGTTTATACGAGTTGAACACGGATTGATATAAGTTAGAGAACCATTGAAAACAAGCATGGAGTATTGGACAGCTGTTTCATCCTCCTAGTTTTTTAGGAATCATCGTCAGTACGCACCCACCAACGGGGTTCGAACCCAGGACCTTCCGGTTACAAGCAAGCAAACTCGTATACCATTCAGCCACTGGGACCCGATCCAGTGGCTAGCCCATGAATTCTAACTTCTTCCGATTCGTGATTTAGCGCGACTGGCACCAACCAATGTCATCGGTGGGACATCCATCCTCACACGTACCTGGATGGACCTCACTGGTCACGACTTCTCACTGGAACTCCAGGAAACTCCATCCTATAGCAATCAAATGTAGTTTGAAAATTGCAAGTGTACGGTTTTTCTATTTTCGTCTGTTACTTGATCTCATAACCTGTTTAATTCCTGTTAATTTTTGTACTTTTTGACTTGAATCACAGCAAATATATTTCAGTTTGTCTAGTCACTAGTATTCTTTGATAGTAAGTATTCCATAATTTTACCTTAATATGATATTTAAGTATTGTCACTTTCAGGCATTAAAAATATGCTGTCTTTTAAATGTTTAAATGGGAATTTTCGGTACATTTCAAGTATCACATGAGAATTAATGTGACGGTTATCATGATGATGAACAATGAATCGATTTTCATTTTAACCTACTGTTCATCCTTAAAATCTTAGAGAAATTTATATTTATATATTCTCCAGTAGCAGAAAATCGTTTCTACCGATTTTGTTTAAAATTCTCATTGATTGAAGTAAATGTTTCTGCGTTTTATTTCGCTATTCATTTCCAACACTTCTGACTAGCCTGAAGAAGAAAATAATTGTAAAACAATAATTAGACATAGTTAATATTAAATTATAAATCACATAAAGCATAGAACACTTTTCAAAGAGTTTCCAGTAGTTTAAACCCTTGAATGATGAATAGAAAAGTGTTCTAATTAGTGAATATTACTGAACAATAAGGTATGTTGGTGGTACAGTGGTAGAGTGCCCATCAACCACTCAGTTGGATCGGGGTTCGGTCCCCGCCCCACACACTCCTTTACCTCACTAAGCCAGTAATAAGACTGGTAAAGAGGGGAGGTTGGGCATGACGCTAGCAACCCTATCCTGTAAAAATTAATCACCACTGCTACCGAAAGCTCAAGCCTTCAGCCTGAAACCCTATGTTCCACTGGGAACATAAAGGAATAAAAATACTGAACAACAATCTTAAAAAACTGTATTTGACTAGCGACAACCGACAGTATGCTGTCAAACTTGTTTCAGTCCGTAATGGAATGATTCGTTTCTCTAGTACTCTTACTTATTTCACACTCCTTTCCTAAATATATTATTACATAAACTACTTTATCCCCGTTCGCTGTTTAACTACCTTTAGTCATAAGTACAGCTGATTTTTTTAAAATCTCATTTAACTCTATTACTACTATTATCCCCTAATATTTAAATTTCATCACCAAATATAGCTTTAAAAAAGCACATGTATATACGGATGTATAGATTGATAGTAAATAAGTTAAAAAAAGTCTGTTCAGTGGATACTGTGTTCTTAATCATAAACAAAGGAATGATATTAAAACTCTATTGAAATAAACTGAAATTCAAATATCTTTTAAGGCGGTGCAGTATGTTCGAATTAAGATGAGTGTATAGTAAATTTACTGGGTGTATAATGTCGTCAGAAACTTGGTTCTTATTTGCTTGTAAGCATAATTTCCAGCTATAACATTTTTAAAAATTTTTTGATTACAGCTTGATTCCACACTGTATTTTTTCGGTACAGGTATGGAATTTTTAGCATGCGATATCGGTAGCCCAAATTTTGCAGGCTGACCAATTGATATCAGGTGTGCGTCGGCAGGGGACCGAACCCCGGACCATGTGCATGATCGGCGAGAGTCATAACCGCTGTGCGTTACAGTGGATAAGAGTGAATTATTTGATTCTATGGCTAACAGATACTGAACTATAGAAAAGGTCCAATACTGCACAGACTACTGTAGCTTACCATAGGCAGTGATACTTTTTATTGCTAATTTATGTCTAAATTAAATGTAATATAATATCACTAGTAGATTTTTGATGGTGAGTAAATAAAGAGTCTAGAGTTATAATGAGACAAATATTAGTTACCAGTTCACTTCCACTGAGTACTCAAAAACTGCCACTTCGTGTATTCCATCCTCAAATTAATTCATTTGAATGTTATATGATGTAGAATAGAAGGGGAAAAAAATGTAATTTCATTGGTCGATTCTAGGAAACATAATGCAGTGATAAAAATCTGCTTGTTACTCTGCACATTACATGAAACTGTATATCTTCTTTATGAACTGCAACCAGTGTGATCCACCAAGTAGGGCATGAGGACAAATACTCGCCAATGACATTAGCTGGTGATCGCTTAAAAATCACAAATTGATAGAAATTAAAATTCATGGGCCATTGTATCGGGTCCCAGTGACCGAATGTTCTATGAGCTTGCTTTGTAACCAGAAGGTCCTGGGTTCGAACCTCGGTGGCCGCATACTGTCGATGGATCCCAAATTGGGATGAAACAGATATCCAATTATCCCTGGTTTCCAATAGCCCTCCAACTGACATCAATCCATGATCAAACTTGAAGCAATCAGTTCTGTTTAGAAAATTTCAATTTCAAACAATAATCTTTCGTTGCTTGAACTTCCAAGCTTTTCATAATAGCCATATGAGGAAATTCTGAATAATTTCCTTTCAAAGTCTTTGTTTTTTCAACTAAAATAAGGTCAGCACACCATTTAAAGCGTTCACATGAAGGAAAAATACAAGAAGTGAAATATATGCTGTTTAAACACTTTGACTGATTTCTATAACTTATGTGATAGACACGAACTTAACTATTTCGTTCGTTTCACGTTTGTTCACGTAGCTCTTAAATTGAAATTTTATCCAAATTAGTTTACTGTACGAATGGATTAATGAATAATCATTTATTTTTCATCTTAAACTTTCTCACATCTTCTTACTAATGGTCTCTTTTGTGGTATAAATCAGCCTACTCAAGTTTATTGACATACAATTCACTTTTGGATAGTCAAATCAAAAATCACGAACTGTTTTTATGTAAATATTCAGGGATAACCAAATTTTTGTCTTCAGGTTCATTCACCTTTCTTATGGAATTTTTCTCTCTTTCGCCACTGCCACATATAACTGAAAATCACTTAAAGCCGAAATTGCCTATCTCATGGTGCAATATACTGCTGATTGATTGGCTGATTGATATGAGTAGTGGGAGGCCACTCATATCTACCAGTATAGCTTGCTAGCCAGATCAGAGTGGTCTGAACACAGGATGACCGTTTAGCTCATTTGGGAGTGATGAGTAATATCTCATTACTGATAGTAGTCGATCAGTAGTATATGACATCATGCGATTAAACTTACTTTTTTTGACTGCTATTCATGGCATCACGTACTATGATCTGAATAATTTCGGTTTCCTAAGGAAACTGTGGCGAAATTTCAACTAGAACTGTGTAAGCTGCAAATTGCCAACTTGATTCAAAATTAGTAAGCTGATAATTTTAAAAATAAAATATGGTACGGAAATAGAACTAACTGAGTAGTAAATGCTGAAAGGTAAAATAGTGATAGAGATTTGTCTTTTGGCGCCATAAATGTTTCCTACCTGTAAACTACTGGTTTGACAGAGCTTAACACCGTTTTGCTTACAATAATCAAAAAAATCATGAAGCATTAGTAGTCATCTGGCACATTTGTTCCGTATGGCAAATGGTCATGTAACGTCGGCAGCTAAATAACGCCTTGAGCATAATTAACTTGACGAAATTATTTCAAAGAGGCCACACGACTTCCAAACTCTTATTTTCCGAGACCTAGAAGTCCTTATTCTAATAATCTAGGTAAGTAATGCTCATTACTGTGTGCTTTATATGATGCTATAGCATTCAAATTGTTCTCTTCTGTCGTTGTCAACCATTACAGTGAATAAACATTCACTTGCGTCTTAGTTTTTATGTCAAAAATTCAGAAAGTTAGACATTTGTAAAAAATTATATTTGTAAAATCTCAGCGAGATTGAAATGAGTAATTCCAACGTCCTAACTTCTTCAGGGAAATTAATCGAAATTAACATAACAGAGGTTTATATATAAAAGGAACATCACTTATTTTTAAAAACTTTGTCCAATCTGTTATGTTAATTTCGATTAATTTCCCTGAAGAAGTTCGGACCAGATTGCCGAATGAAAAGTTGGAATTACTCATTTCAATCTCGCTGAGATTTTACAAATATAATTTTTTACAAATGTCCACTTCTCACTTGGCGCCCAAATATTTTAGAACTATTCTGTCAAATCTTACCGACAGTTTATTTGAATTCAGAAAGTTAGTTTT